TTTTTGCTATCAATCAGGCCTGGAGGCTTTTGGTGACTGTTGTGTTTGTGAAGTGATAAATATCTTATTGCCAGAAGTGACCACCAATGAAGTCTGGTAAATTTTCATCCAGTGGCAAAAAGAACAGCTGCCTCAGAGCACATTCAAAGGCACAGGGGGAGAACGAAGTAGTTTCTTTTAGGACCACATCACATGAATGCTGCTTGTGCAGCAGACTGATAGTGGCAGAGAATATTCATATTTGCAACCAATATCCAGAAAATGGACTGAATTCAAATCAATATGCCTATCTTCAAATGCAGGAGTCATCTGTTTTCAAATGCAAAATGACTACTTAGAGCTTTTCAAGGCTATTGTAATTGCTGGGTCTGACTTCAGATAAATGTTTGTAACAATCAATCTGCCTGCTGTATTCAACTTCCCTTGCTCAAAACCAAAACCAAAACCAAAACCAAACCAAATAAAAAGGTAGCCTCAGCCTGTTCTTTGTTCTTGGGTGGTCACTGAAAGGACAAAGGCTCCATCCTGCCTCCCAAGTCAGCCTGCCATGGTGTCCCCAGAAGTCTACTGTTGGGTAGCTAGTGGCCTCTAGCTATGGCAGCATTTAAGTCAGTGAAATCTTTTCTCTTAGTAATCTGAGCTAAGACACTCAAAAAGAAGTTCAAATTCCTGTTAGGTATTGCTACGGTTACTGGAACACTGGGGTCTTGCCCCATAGTGATGAAGATTAAAACCTAGGACAGAGAAGACAGGGTACAGGCAACTTTATTTAAAAGATATGAAGGTAAAAAAATAAAGCTCCAGCTAGCTAGGAGGAGGTTCTGAGCAGGATACCCACAGAGGTTGTTTGTCCAGGTTTTAAGATATTTAGAAGGGGGCTCTGATCATTGCATAAGCAATATGATCTCTACCCTATAGGAGACTATATCCATCTCAGGGTCCAAACTATGCAGTCTTCACACAGTGCCCATGCAGGGCCATGCACCCTTGAGGCAATGGTACAGCTGACTACGCTCCAGGGAGGTCCCAGGCAGCCAGAGGACACCTGGCACACATTTTCGTAAGATCCCTGGAGGTGGTGACTCAGTAGCCTCCATTTTGGGCTTCCTGACTCCATTTTGGGGCTGCTGTCCTCACTGCCTAATAGAACCCTAAACTCTGTTTCACTATTATTGAATAAAGGTCACAGGAATGGCCCCGTCCATATTGAGGAGAGGGAGCTGATGTACAGAGAGCAATGCCAAGCATGTGACTTGGAGGCCTGGAGCGAGAATGACGTTTTTGACCCTTCTGGGCTGTAGTAAGGAGCCTTGTCGTCCTTGCCCACCAAAGGTTTATGATTGGAGGAGTGTCATAAATTTCACCCAGTGGTGCCGATTTGCACCTGATGAAAATCACACAGCCCCACCCCTTGTTCCTTTCCTGGAGGGTGGATGTCTGATTTTCTGCTTATTTTAAGGACAACTGACTTTCTCAGTGCAACCTCTGCTGTTATTTCAGATGTTTATTGTCTTCAGCATTCCAATGATGGTGGCATATAGTAATATGCATTTGTTGGGATGCAAAATAGACTGAGCTTATTGTTTAAATACCTGTGTTACTATGTAGGTAACCAGACCATGTTCTATATACAGATAATTTATATGATTATTATGCACATTGCTTCAAAGTGATTCAGATTGCTTGGTTATTTTTGATGTTATTTCCTGATCTTTTCAGCATCTCTTTGGAGATTGATAATGAAATGCTGATGAGAAAAAGATTTTTTGCTCTACATTTTGAAAAATTTATATTAAGATAGAAATAAATCTACTCTACATAAGGGAGCTTTTGAAGACTTATTGCTTAACAACTCCAATTATTTTTCAGAGCCTCTGCACTTTGCCTGTTCTCCCTGGACCTAGTTTTTGGCATTTGTACTAAGCAATACTACCTGTCACCTGTTTACATAGACAGGTGGAGACTTTGAAGTAATCCCCTTGGGAGAAGGTGCATTTTGCCTTAGTGTGATGTGAGTTACTGGCTCTGTTAATACCTTACGAGTGCACTGAGGGTTAAATTTTAAGTCCCAGCCAAATGCTGCTGTGTGGTCTACCTCTGTGTGGACTCTCACCCCCCCAATCCACATACTCTCGTGACAAAGCCCATGGAAAATGGGAGAGCTCAGGAGAAGGAGTACAGGCTCTGAAGTCACGGGACTGCCCCAACTCTCCATCCCTGTCTTACACACGCGTGTGCATGTGCACACACACACTCATACACATGCACATAAACATATTCATCTAGGCTCAAAATTAAATTACTAATTAATGAATCTATCTAATCTATTTTCCCTTTTGTTTGGAAGCTTATGTTTTAGGGCACGTATGTGAACAACACTGGGAAGTTAATTATGTACTTGATCCGTGTGAGTGGGTATGAAGAAACATATTTGGTTTCCTTGAACACTGTACACCCCTGTATTAGTTAAGGTAGCATTACTAACTGTAACAGATGCATCGCCACGGATTCAGGGACTTACCAAAGGACAAGTTTATTCCTGGCTCAGAAAGAAGAGGCGTGGGGTGTGTGTGCCCCCTATTCATTCAGGATCGAGGCTGATGCAGGCTCTTCACCTAGCTGATCTTCACCTAGCTGGGCAGGGAAGGAAGTGCGACTCCCTTGTAGCAATATGAGTCAAGTCTAGAAGTAGCACATAGGTTCTGACATCTTCAATTGGCAGAACTCAGTGACATAATCAAACTTTTTTTTTTTTTATACTGGGGATCGAACTCAGGTCCTTGCGCTTTCAAGGCAGGCAGCGGAATCACTGAGCTAAATCCCTGGCCCAATCAAACTTTTCTTCAAGGAAGCTGGGAAATGTAAATTAGTTCCATCCTCAGGAAAAATTGATAAGGGTTTTGGTGAACACAAAACAATTTATGTCTCAACCCAAGCATCCAACAAATATCAGTTTCATCTTTCTCCCTTATACGGAACCACCTCTTTCCCTTCCTGAGTCCAATTCCAGACCTTCAATCTCCAGCTGGTGCTGTTTTCTCCACAGCGCCCAGATGTGGCTCCACATGGACTGGCACCCATGAACTGAAGACAAGTTTTCCGAAGGAGGGATATATTTTTACAATGCCACTGTTCACAATAAAACTTCCATTTACAAAAAAAGGAAGCATGGGAGACAGCTCATGGGATAAAGCAATACTGAAACCCTACTGGACAACCCATGTGGAATACTTCTGGCTCACCAGTGAAGGGAATTTCTTGATTAAATGTTGATTCTTCTCTCTGAAAGGAACATTCTTTCCTTGTCCATTATCCTCCATGACCAGATCGGAAGTAGAATTGAGAGTTGTCCTCCTTGGTGTTGTACGGATTTAGTAGTCTACTTCCCAATCATCAGGTTTGGTGGGCCAGAGTTTGTTCAAACATCAAAGTCTGATCTTTTGGAGCTTTTGGCATTCAACTCCCTTAAATACTTCCATTCAATTCTTAGTGCCCATAAATAAGTTCAGAAGTTTTTCCTAAGTGTAATTATCAACTTTAATTTATTTTTTACTTTTTTATGACTCTTCATGGTTCTGGTTTGTAAGTGTATGATCCAAAATGTCTGGGTAGGAAGGCCCCACCCTGATTCTGTCTTTGCCTCAAGACCAGTTTTTAATGTACCCATGGTGCATTTAAATCTACCCTATCTCTTACTGCTTGGGATCAAGCTTTTACTTAACATCAAAGCTCCAAATGCCTGGACTTTTCCCTTTCATGACTGTTGCAAACAATCCCTCTCTTTCATATCTAGAAAGTAAGAGCCAACTCGAATAACATTCAAACTCTGTAAACCCTTTCCTTACAGCAGGGACTGGCAACTTTTTTCTGTAAATGTTTGGATTTTAAATATTTTATTTACACTGTGGCCCATACAGTCTTTGCCATTTCTGCTGAATTCTGTTGGAGTGTAAAAGCAGCATAGGATACAGGAACAAATGGGTTTTCTGGTGGTTCCCACCATTTTATTTCAGTGATGGCCAGATTTGGCTTTCAGGCATACTTTACTGCTCCATGCTTTAGAGCTGCAGACCCAATAGGCATGTGCTTGGCCCTCATCTTCTCACAGGTCAAAGTCTGCTTTCAGGATCAATTTCTTCTCTTCTGCTGCACAAGCGCTAAGTCAGTGGTGCTCAGATTAGCTTTTTGTTAACACTGACTCGCTGCTATTGTCAGTGTATGTGTTAGTTAAAAGGTTGTAATTTTTACCTAACAAACCAATGAATGACTTAACTTTCTAGAAATTACTTTGTTGGAGTATAAAGTCCATCCAGGACTGCCACATGTGGTCACTGACATAGGGGCCCACTGCGGCATGCAGACATTCAGGGCTGACAGTGGCTCTGCCCTGAGAACGTGGAGATGTCTAGGTCCCGAGTGTTGATGTCCTGCTGATGGGGGGATGGAGAGGACACTCACTGATGCGAGGATTTTATGGGCCAGGGGTGAAGCCATCTTACAACACTTCTGCTCTGTTCTGGTGGGTGGAGCATAGATAATAAACTCAATAGCAAGAAAGCACGGGAAATGTTGTTTAGCTGCACAGCCAGGAAAGAGTAGGCACATAGTTCAGTGAACAGACTGAATTCTCTGTCTCAGGCACTAAATGTGGGTGGACTATTTCACATCGCCAAGCTTTAATTGTTCTGCCTCAGAAATTCAAGAAATGAACTCCAGTGTCTCTGCTCACTATGTGATTGATTCTCTGTATGCTTTTTTCCTTCATGACACCCCTCCAATGACTTAAAAATGACAGGAAATTAAAATGACAAATACTTTTAGAAATAAAAGTTATATGCAAATTATATGCAAAATAAAATTATATTTTATGTTTCCAAAGATGAAGACAGGTCATCTCTGCAGAAGCCCTAGAAATTATATTTAAATATTTTTCTACTAATGCTATAAACATACACACAGTAAGTCATCCATTTGTGTATTAAACAATCCCAAACTATGACTCTTTTTGCTAGCATCTTTATTAAAAAAATAAGATTTAAATAAATTAAATATAATAAGCATGGTACAAGCACATAACTAAGAGTTAACACCTTTAAAAGAAATCAATGTATGAAATAGTTCCAATATATACACTGTTGAAAGAAATCATAGATTTGGGAGAACATGGTTAGACAAAAGACCAGACTGACATGGAGAGGACCCTAGAAAACAGTGGTCTTTCTAAGACTATGACTAAGTCTTTCTAAAAGAGCCATTTCTTTATACAATGTGTGTGTAGAAGAGTTGAATATATGAAGTTGCTGAAATTGCCCTCCCTTTCTGCAAATGAGGGAAGCTCAGCAGCAATTGCTCCATTTTTAAAGTAATGAATAATGTGAGTTAATTTCCACAGCCCCAGATGAACATTTCTTGCATTTTCCCTTAGCTAAAGGGCTTGGTAGGAATAGCTTGGGAATCCTGAGCTCTGTTGTCCCCATCTGTATCATAAAATTCAGAGACCCTCTTATCTCACGACTGCATGTACCAGAGAGCAGTGTAGGGAGAATGGAGGTGATGATATCTACAGCAGGTATTGCTGGGGCAGGTCCTCAACCAGCCTCACACAGCCTCATTCAGCCTGCCCCTCCCCTGTAGCTTTCTGATCTTGGTTTCCTTAAGGAAGCCATTGTTGGGTTTCTTGCCCAGTTCCAGGCACAGTGCCAGGTGTTGAAAAAGATGCTGGCCTTGCTCCTCAGGGCCCCAAAGTCTAGTAGAAGATAGTACTGCCTTTAGTTCTTTCCCTAACCTCTGTCATTATTGCCTCTCTACTGGACTTTTGTATCCCTGTCTAAATGGAAAGGATTTCCTGAGAGGATGCCTAAGATTACTGATGAGGAATGAACCCACGAATCTGTGAACTAAGATCAAATAAAACTTATGGACCAAGAGCGAGGGACTCAGGGCTGTGGGGTGACAGGCCTGCCCCAGTACCCTCAGTGCTGCAGCCCCCTCCCCACAGTGGGGTCCAATGGGGTCTGATGTCCCCTCATGTGAGGTCAGCACCTGGGCATGGTGCTCACACACAGACTTCTGCGTCCTGCAGGCCAGGGCAGGTGGACTGTGATGAATCCATTGTCCCTTACGCCATCTCACTGAAGGAGCAGTAGCTGGGCCCCAGGCCTCGAACAGTGCAGTCAGTGCTGTCGCTGTCACACTTGCCACAGTGACACTTGGTGGCCACAGGGTACGTGTACAGGGAGTCTGCGTGGTGGGCACAGCCGGGCACTCTCACGGTCTCATACACCAGCTCCTTGAAGGTGCATATTTTCTGGAGGTTGGGCCTGGCCGGGTCCTTGTACACCAGATCCTGAGGGGATTAGGAAGGGGAGAATCAGGTCACAGTATCCTGAAGGTTCTGCTCGGCTCAGTCAGAGTGAGACAGAGGTTGAATTCTGAGGCTCTCACACTTATTTGCCTGTTAACATCAGTAAAGCTTCATACATGACCTATGGGCTATGCCACATTGCTTATTCCTTGAGAAATCTTACAGAAAAACGTAAGTCATTTCTTTCCTAATCCCTATGCTTATAACAAAATATTGGCTATTTCTGAAAATGTAAATGTTTGCACATACAAAAATGATGACAAGGGAAATGTAACTTAGAATTTTCAGTTGACCTTTTGTACTTCATTGTGAGCTATATAAATAACAACTAGAATCGTCAACACTGTAGTTTAATTTCTCAGAAAAAAATTTCAAGATAAATTGTCTTGCTATGTTTACAATGAAAAAGTTATACTGTGAATGCTAGTGCTCAACATGTTTATAAAGGTTCCAGAAAGATGATAAATATTCCTCTGCCTTGCAGACATGTGCCTCTCTTACACGCTGTGCACCTTTCAGAGCTCTTAGATTCAAAGGATGCATAGTTTTCATATGAAATCTTTTAATCCAGGCAAAACAGTTCATTCTTGCATTTTCTAGTGGAAAATTTATTTTCACTGAGGTGAAAATATTTGGGCTGGTGTTTAATTTATTTCAGTATCATGCTGGCAAGTCTGTATCCCAAGGAGGTACAATAAATTGTGCAGTAAGGGAGTTTGATTGATCAAGCTCATTTTCCCATCAAATGAGGGGTATATTTCATTAAAAAGTCATTATTTTCAATTTCAGTGGATAGCATGAAATTCTGCATAGTAACTAGGTGCTGCCTGTAAAGTGAAGAAGACAGGTGGAAACTGCTGCTTTATTTGGATCAGTGCAAGGAAGCCCTGAAAATTCAGACCAGTAACTTCAAGCCTCTGCATCTCGGTTCTCTCAAAGGTGTCCAGGGGGAGAGGATGTCACCTAACCATATGCAAGGGTGACTGTGTTCTCAGACTGCTCATCAGCATTTGTGTTCGAGGAGGTTGAGAGCACAATTTTTGTAATGTGGCTTTTGTGACTTGGAAACATATTGTGGTAGTAGCGTATCTTTGGTAGAGATATGACCTTAATTACAGAAATTGCCTTTTGGGGAATATTACATGTTCCTTATGATATATTATATATATGTCATAAGATAAACATGGAAAAACTATATATATATAGTTTTCTTTCTACATGTAAAATTTAGCAGAGAAATATCTTATTTAGTTATTTATTTTGGAAAGGCACAGCTGGTACGTTAGCACATTTACCAGATCAATTCTAAGGCTTTCCTAGGTTTACTTAAAGTCGAATCCAAGCCCCAGACTGACACCATGGCAGTTCACCCAGTCACATCACATGTGCTACTGACAGAGGGGCTTGGGCTGAAACTTGGGGAAAACAGTGTTGATGAAGTGGGGTTCACATGGCCTGAGTCCCTCCCTGCCCGGGAAGCGGGACCTACCCTGGTATAGCAGTAGCCCGCACACCAGGTGGTGTTGATGCTGATGCAGAACCTGCACTGTTCCTTCTCCACGGCGATGGTGACATTGGTCAGCTCACAGCCCGCACAGCAGGCTGCTCTCCAGCAACAGAGAAGGGCGCAGAACTGGACGGACTTCATGCTGGTCTGAGAAGCAAACAAGCAAGGCTTGTTAGAAATCAGGACACCAAAGAATTATAACTACGATGCCAGTCAACCTAACCAAAAGTCATTTTTATACCTCTTCAGCAAGCCTTTCCTTTCTTTATTTTTTGTTTCTTTGAACAACATTCCTCTTCCTCCTCCTTCATTTTTTTTGTTTTTGTCAAACAGCAATATAGTGATTTAGGTAGAGTGGTTACTCTACCTAAGTGATTACTCTGAAGGAAATAATTGTGACCATTTTATGTGCCCTTCCAGTAATATTTTTAATGACTAGTTTTGTTTTAAAAGAAAAAGAAAATCGCATATATCAAAAATCATTTCTTTGTTTTTACCACCCAGTAAATGTTTTGTGCTTTTATCCACAACTCGTGGAAAATAAGATTATTTCGGAAGCCAGGAAAATTGGTCTATAATGTCAGTTGCTTGCTAACAGTTATTACAGTACATAAACCATACTTAAGAAGCTAAGCTAACAAATATAAATTCCCCATGCAGTGCTGGCAGCAAGGTCTAATTTGTTCTGCTGCTCCTGAAAACTGTAATTTCAAAAGCAGCTCTCATCCCTTGATAACTGGAAGTGCCAAGACTTACCTGTGGCCGGCTGTCTTGCACGGGGAGGGAAGCTGTAGACTGAGTCCAGTCTCAGTTCACCTTTTATACAAAATTGTGTGCAACTGACACCTTGTGGATTTACTGGGTGTTGATATGACTGATGTTAACATGAAACCGGCTGCAAGCGAATCAGTGTTTAGCCAGACAGGGAGATCAAGCCTCCTGCATGTAGTCTAAACGCAGTGGATCAGAAAGAACAATGTTATCAGAGACTGTGATGTACAAATTAAATTTGATACGCTAGCACACCCACTCCTTTACCTTGTCAAATTAAATGTGACTCTAGGTGTTTTTCAGTCTTTAACTTGGGAAAATTCAAGTCCTTCTAAGTACTGCTTTGACCCTGTTGAAGAGGTGCTCAAAACGGTTAATAAATTGTTCCAAGAGAAGATTGAAAGCTGTGAGGGAAGGAACAGACAAATAGAAAACATCTCATTCTCTGACTCCTACATAAATTGGGAACTTTATCTTTCTTTACCTCCAACATCCAATTCTTCTCATCTTAGTCCTTATTTTTTGATTCTTTAGAAAGAGCTTTCTACTTGGCATGCCATCTCCTAAGTATGCTACTGGTTCATTCTTTCAGATCGTGATAGCTGTATGTGATTTCTCTGTGCTAGAAATGTCTGAGATCCTCCCTATTTTCCCCAACACCACCCACCCACAGCAAATTCCTCCACCTTTAATAGTCCCAGGTGTTTCCCCCGTGGGAGTTTAGGGCAGGAGGTGAGGGAGAGCTTTTGTCACTGCTTTCTGCTTGTAATCATTGATATATATCTGTTTTCTCCAGGAGATAATGAGCTCCTTAGAGAATGGGGTTGATTTGTTTCACAAATATTTATTAAGTAGTGTGAATGGAGCAAAAGGTCAAGGGCTGAAAATTAAGATATATCAGAGAGGTAACAGTGTTAAATCATGCAGGACCTTTAAGGCCAGTGTAAGGACTTTTGTTCTTACTCTGGGTGAGATCAGATAGATGGCAGGATTTTGAGTAGGGGAGTGCTACGAACCTGTTTGGGTATGCAAACATCCTCCTACTACTGTGGAGTAAACTGCATGTTGCTGCTCATGGAGGGGAACAAAGGTAGAAACAGGAAGACCTATTCGGATGCTACTGCCACAGCCCTGGTGAGCAAAGGAGTTTGTTCAGACCTGCGTGGTAGCCCTGAAGGTCATGTGCCATCACACGACCCTGGGGTACTTTGAAAATAGAACCAACAAGGTTTATGATGGGTACATGTAGAATGTGAGAGAAAGAGAAAAGTCAAGGGTGATTCGAAGGTTCCAGTCTGAGTGACTGTCGACTAACGTGGAGGGCTGAAGACGTGGTGAGCTTGGGAAAAACAAATTCAGACCAATAACGTCAAGCCTCTGCATCTCGGTTCTCTCAAAGGTGCCCAGAGGGAGTGGATGTCACTGTAACCATCTGCAAGGGGTGACTGTTCTCAGACTGCCAATCGGCATTTGTGTTTAAGGAGGCAAGAGCATGAGTTTTGTAAGGTGGCTGTGTGTGACTTGGAAGCACATTCAGTATGAACTTGATAAGCTTGGAGTGTCTTTAACAGATCCAGGGAGGGTGCTGACTCAGGATTTTAGGAGAAAAATACAGACCAAAGATGTGATCTAAGGAGTCGATGACATGAACGTGGAAGAGGTTATGAAGGGAGTGAATGTGGAGACGCGAATGAGGACGTAGAAGAGAACCTGGTTAAACTCCAACATGAAGAGGTCAAGGACATGACGAATGTTTATTCTTTTTCCAAGTGAGGTGGAAGGGTCCATGGAGGAGGCAGGCATGGAGACCGTGGGTTGTTACAGAAGGCAGGCAAAGAGGGGTATCAAAGAGGGGTATCGAGAAGGAAGAGGGGACGACTCCACCCAGTGAGGAGCCACACTGCATGTGGCAGTGGAAAGACCAGTGTCCATGGCTGGGAGTCCTTTGGAGCGAGGGAACAAAACCTGGACTGGGAGGAGATGACTTGGGAAATACAGATGACTTCCTTTGGAAATTTTTTTACAAAGATCTGCAAAGAAATGAGCGCTTCAGTAATGGGGAAGTGGCGTAAAAACAGTTTCAGGGTAGAACAAAACCAGTGGTGCTGTTGGAGAATTTCCAGAGCTCCCACGCAGAGGTGAGGAGGATGAGTTCCAGAGCATGCATGGAGGGAAGGCTGAGGCGGGAGTGTGAGTCCCAGCCCCAGGCAGGGCAGGAGGGCAGAGCTTGGCAGTGGGAGGCGGGTGAGGGGCTTTGGGAAGGATGGAGTGCAGGTGTGGGTGCAGGTGGGACAAGCCTGTTTGCTTTCCTTGCACTCTGCTCCCAGCCTGTCCTGCTCCCTGCCATGGGGCCGAGGCACTGCGGGCTGCCTTTGTCACCTGCTCCATGAGCAGCTTTGTTTCCCAGTGCGGATTGGAGGGAGTGGCAGCATCGCTGGCCTTTCCTCTCTGCTTTTTTTCCTGGCAGTGACCGCTTCCCCACCCCTAATCTCTCACCTGAGGGCTCCTCCCGTGTGGTCCGGGCCCTAAGTCCCTCTGTCCTGAGCCTCCGTTTCTGGGCCCTGTGTCCCCTGGTGCTGTGGCTTCTCGAGGCTCGGCTTCTCGGTGCTGCTGCTGATCTCTGGGTGATGCAGTTCCCCTGCCTGGAATCTCAGCAATTACTGGAACACCTGGGTAAACACTCTTCAAATTAGCCAGTTCCCTGGGTCCCCTCTGTTTTACCTACAGGAGTAATTTCTGTTTTCCCAGCTGAAAACTGACTGATATCCTACTTCTGTTTCTAGCCCTCTGGAAATAAAACTCTCTGAGTTTCACACACTAATATTAACGAACTCAGCACCTAAGCAAACGTTGGGCACTCTTCAGGGAAACATGTTCCATTCTCCTGTACTGGATTAAAGGCTCATGGTACATCCCTAAACCACACATGCTTTTTTCCCTGATCCTTGAGGGAAACAAAATTCCACTCCCTCTGCCTCACACACGTCTCATCTCCTTTCCATGGAAGCTACTCAAAGACCCCAGCTAGACACCTTCTTCTAGAAGACTTTTAGTCTATTCCTAACACTGAGGTTCTCAGAGCCTCAGCCTAGCAAGTTCTTCCTCATGCTTCCTTCCTTCGCAACACCTACCCCAGTGGTTCCTCTTACCATGCTCCATTTGAAATGCCGGCTTCTGAGACTTCTAGTCAACCAATGTCCCCACCGTGGGGGAATTTCTGTACATATAGCCAATGGCCTCTGCCTTTTTATTTACAAAGATTTTTTTTCAAGTAATTCCTTTATGTTTGACTGTAAAATAAGAAATTATCTGTGTTCATATCTTGATAAAGTATTTCCCCTGCCTGCAGGCTGATTCCCTTTCCTTTTGCCTACAAGAGACATATTTTGTAGTTTTAAAATGTTAATGTATTTTGTTTTTTCTGATTGTTTTATGTATTAAAGGATTTATTTTTTCAAATTACAACATAATAAGTAATCTAAGTAATGTAATATTTGCATAGAAAATGCCAAATTTTATTGTTTTTAGAACATCAAAGAACCCAACAATGACAGTATAGACTCCACTGTACAATATGGTACCCACCTACTGCATGTGGCTATTCTGTACTTGAAATTTGTCTAGTACAAATTAAGGTGTGCTAATAGTATGAAATATGCACTGGATTTTAAAGACAAAATAAAGAAGTATATAAAAATCTCAATAATTCTTGACTTGATTATGTTTGAAAAGATATCATTTTGGATATATTACGCTAAGTAAATATGTTATTGACTTAAAACTTTCCCTATTCCTTTGTACTTGTGCCTTACTTTAAAACGTAACTTTTAAAAAAAGCCATATAACAGCTCCCATCATATTTCTGATGGACAGCAGGGGCATAGACCTCCTGGGCTGATGAGTGGATTGTAGAGGTCACAGGAGCTGTGATCTGTCTATGTCTGGTCTATGTGCATCACACATTGCCAGGGTAGGTCAGCTGATATTACAGTGAAAAATAATAAATTTAAAAGCCCGCTGGTTGGCAGCTGTTGCTCATATGAAAAAGCAACAGTGTATCTCATGTTTTTCAGAGAGGGTCAGAGGGCAAGTCAGCTTATTATCAGGTAAACTTGTTCTCATCCACTGGGCATCAGATGGAACTTTAATTTATCTCACCTGATAAGACACCAAAAGAGCAAAACAAAACCAGATGCTTGTCTCTGTTGGATTTCCATCCTCAGAGTAAGACAGAGCAAAATGGCCTAGAATTCTCCTGACAGGAGCTCCTTTATGAGCAGCAGTAGCACTGCAAGTGTTCCTTGGTGGTGCTGCCCTCAGAGGTCAGGACATTTGGTATCAGTCAACTGATAATGCACAAAGCTAAAAATACTTCCTAGGCTTTATAGCAATTGGATTTTTCACAGAGCAGGCGTTTGATAAATACTTCTTGGTTTGATTTTGCTTTGACGCTGGTTGGCAGGTTTCTAGAAACTAAAGCATACAGCACTGAGAACAGTGTGTACATTTAAGTAATTAACAATAGACTGTTGGGCTGGGGATTTAGCTCAGTGGTTTCGCTGTCTGCTGCTCAAGCGCAAGGACCCAAGTTCGATCCCTGGTACCAAAACCAAAACAAAACAATAGACTGTTGCTTGAGGTGGGCTATGGTGAAAGAAAAATAATCTATGCGAGGCCAGCAGGAAATCCAGCACACACTGCAGATGCCAGGTGGTTGTTCTTATATCTTTTTGTTTCTTATTCGCTTCTCATCTAAATTGCATCTTATTTCTATGCACATGCACAAGCCCATACATAAAACACTAGAGTAATAATTGACAGTGTTTTCACATCTTTAAGCTTGAGTATGACCCCTGAAGATGGAATCCTTTTCCTCATATTACAAAGCATATACCAAGCACTGACTTAGACAGTCATTGTGCTAAATGTTTACATTCAATAAACCTTTGAATGTTCCCAGCAGCTTTATGACCTACATGTTATTATGGTTTCTATCTAGATATCTCCCCCAAGG